GAACTCATAGAAGAAATCAGTTGTTGATCAAAAAAAAAAAAAAAAACCACAATGAGAAACCAATTCATACATGTTAGAATAGTTATAATAAGAAAAATGGAAAAATAACAATTTTTTGTGAGGATATAGAAAAATTGAAATTCTTAATAGATTGTTGGTGGTAATGTGAAATGGTGCAGCCACATTGAAAAACAATTTAGTGTTTCCCCAAAAAGTTAAATTTAGAATTATATGACTCAGCAATTCTACTCCTTGATGTATACTCTCAAATCTCAAAACAGATACTTAAAAAATTCCTGTACACACATGTTCATAGAAGCTCTATTCATAATAGTCAAAAAATGGGAAAACCCCAAATGTTCATCGTAGATAAACAAATTATGGTACATACATATAGTGGAATATTATTCAACCATAAAAAGGAATGGCATGCTGTACATGTTACAATGTGGATAAATCTTGTAAACATGCTAAGTGAAAGAAGTCAGACAAAAAGATTGCATAGAATATGATTTCACTTACAGGAAATATCCAAAATAGGTAAATACGTAGAGACAGAAATCAGAATACTGATTATCAGAGAGTGGGCAGAAAGGGGAACGACTGATTAATTGACTTAGCGTTTTCTTTAGGGGTGACTCAAATATTTTGGGACTAGATAGAGGTGATGCTTACATACATTGTGAATGTGCTAAATGCCACTGAATTATAAACTTTAACACAGTTAATTTTCTGTTATGTGAACTTCACTTCATTAAAGATATGTGCTAAATCCTTTCATTGAAAAATTCCATGTCTGAAAATGCATCCCACCGAAATATTACATTCAGGGAAAAAGGAATATACGAAAAATATTTTCAAAACCTTTTTCAAACTGAAATATTAACAACAGCTAAGATCCAACAATAGGAGAATATGTAAATTTTGGAAATCTGGCCTTTGAGCTTTTCTTGTTCAGAACTTCTGCCTTATAATGAAGATAAACACCAAATCAGAGCGCAAGCCACTTCACTAGTGTGCAGCCATTTCTTCCCAGTTGAAAAACCTTGGATAAATTTTGAAATCTGTCTGATCCTGCATGTTCCAGCTTTTCTGAGTTTAGCTTTTCTCCTCTCTGAAATCAGGATAATTGCATCTGTCTACTACGATGCTTAACATAGGATAATTCCTGTATCCCTACTTTTATGCATAAAGAGAAAAGCAAGGAATAAAACACACCAAAATAATTTAAATGGTTGTGTTGGGTGGCTGGATTTTGTATGACTGCTTTTCTTCATCTTTGTTAATGGGCAATATAGCCATGTGTGTGCATGAGCGCGTGCACACGCACACACACACACACACACACACACACACACACAGAGGGCGATCACGGCAGTATGGCATTTACTTACTCTAGCACAATCAATGACCCCAAATTGCTATCTCAGTATTAACTGTATAGGAAAGAATGAGTTCTTCTGTAATTTGGGCTTAACCAAATTTATAGGTTTGGTTTTTCCTTTCTGAATTGTCAACCAATAGTCAGTTTGAACTGCCTGCGATCCCTCAAATACTTAATGCTGCTTCCTCATTTTTAATTTATTAAAATAATAACATCCTTTTACTTCCAGAGATTGTTCTGTCATAAAGTATCTTCATTTTTCCTTAAGGAAAGAAGAGACATGAGAATATGAAGATTGGTCTATAGGTAAATGTTTTTTTTTTATATCAAATATTTTCCAACAAAGGTAAATGTTTTTGTTGTTAACTATCTTTTCATATGATCTTGACATATTGTGTCAAAATATTAAAAGTTAACCTAGTTTTATAATCTATAGTCAATAGTTTTAAAAGATAAACCTAAATTATACAAATTTAGTATTTAAAAATAAGATAAAAAGGATCTTCAGTTTCTGTGGTTGCAGTATGGTCATTAATGATACTATCTGGGATGGTCTGACATAAAAATACAGTTTTACTTTTCATGCATAGTTAACCACCTTCCCTGGAAGCGAATACTGAAAATTGTTCTTCTAAATGGACATTGAATGACATGGACAGGAAGGCAAAAGCTTTCAAGGTAATAACACTAGTATGTTCAATAATTGATTATCTTTTACTATTTTTAACTGATTTAACTTTCCACAAGTTGAAAACTGTTTCAGATTTGCATAAAACTATAAATATGGAAATGGTTACTAAAACCTTTCTCACTTCATTCCTTACCTTGTTTGAGGCAAAAGATTTCAAAGATTTTGCACAATACATACATTTGATGAAGTAAGTTGAAGCTAATTTTTAGAAAAATTAAGTTTTATTTTAGGAAATTTTCTTTAAGTACAGCTTTTTATAAATTAATATCTTTAATTTTTATATAAGTATAGACTCACATGTAGTTGTAAAAAATAATACTGGGAGATCTTATGTATTTTTTACCTAGATTTCCCCAATGGTAACTTCTTGGGAAACTCTAGTATAAGACAACAACCAGGATATTGACATTTATATAATCAAGGTACAGAGCAAATCTGTCTCCACTGAGACCACTCTTGTTACTCTTGTTGTTCCATAAAATAAAAAAGCCACTACCACTTCCCTCCTTTTCCCCTGGTAACTACTAATCTGTTCTCCATTTCTGTAATTTTGTCCTTTCAAGAATGTTATATAAATGGGATCATACAAACAAGCATATTTGGGGACTGGCTTTTTTCACTCAGCATAATTCTGGAGATTCATCAAGGTTGCTGCATATGTCAAAAGCTTGTTCCTTTTTATTGCTGAATATGTATTCCATGGCATTGATGTAACACAATTTGTTTAACTATTCACTCACTGAAGAACATCTGGGTTGTTTCAGTTCTTGATTATTATTATAAATAAAGCTGCCATAAATATTTGTGGACAGGTTTTTGTGTGAAGATAAATTTTTATTTCTCTGGGATAAATGCCTTAGAGTAACTGCCAGAAAATGCAATTGCTGGGTCAGATGGCAGTTGCATGCTTAGTTTTTAAAGAAACTACCAAATATATCCAGAGTAGTAATAACATTATACATTCCCAACAGCAATGTATAAGTGATTCAGTTTCTCTGCATGCTTGCCATTATTTGGTGTTGTCATTATGTTTTTTTCTTTTTTCTTTTTTTTCATCATAGCCATTCTCAGAGGTTTGTGGTCATATTTCACTTTGGTTTTAATTCGCATTTACTTAACAGCTAATGATTTTGAAGTAGATTCATGTGTATGTTTGCCATTTGTATATCTTCTTCAGTGTCTCTTTGTGTCTGGGCCTATTTTCTGATTGTATAGTTATGTTTTATATTTGTTATTTTTAACAGTTCAGTTTTAAGAATTCTTTAAATAAGAACTTTAGTCATTTGTCAAATATGTGAATTGCAAATATTTGATTCTAGACTATAACTTGTGTTTTTATCCTCATAATGAGGTCTTTCACAGAGCAATAGTTTTTTTTTTCTCTTATAGACTGTGCTTTCAATAAATAGTTTAACTTTTCCACCACTTTAGATCTCAAACATTTTCTATTTTTTTCTCAAAAGTTTTATAGATTTATATTTTTCATTTAAATTTATGACCCCTTTTGAATTCACATAAGGTGTGAGACTTAGACCAACATGGTGTTTTAGTTTTGTTGTGGATTTTTTGTTTTGTTTTGTTTTTTGCCCATGGATATCCAATTATTACAGCACCATTTGTTGAACAGAGTATCTTTCCTACATTAAATTGTTTTGCACTTTTGCCAAAAACCCATTAGGCCTATTTGTGACGGTCTATTTTTGGGTTTTCTGTTTTCTTTCATTGACTTATATGTTGATAACCCTGCCAGTTCCTGTCTTGATTACATAGCTACTAAAACCTGATTTTTTAAAAAAGTTCATGATCAGTTTAATATAAATCATTTCAAGCTTAAATTATTCAGATCAATAATATTACACTAAAAACTTATTAGGATATTATAATATTTTTCTTTATAAAGTAAAGTATTTTTCTTAATACAGCATATGATTTACAAAATCTCAATAAATAAAGATAACATACAGCAAAAGTTAAGGGAAAAGGCCAAAATATATAATAAGAAAAGATGCCTTTGATAATAATCTTCCTGTCTTTTTCAGTGTAAATCAATTATTTTAAATAAAAAAAAACTCCTCTAAAAAATATAGCACATGTATATTCTAAAGGACTAAAATAATCAAATAGCAGGTCTTTTGAACTGTGAAATTCCATGTGTTCAAAGGCTTTCAAAGCATTATATGAGGCTTCCTGCCTTAAGTCCATAAATTTTTATTGTTCTTCTTCAAGCTCATAAACTTTCTTGAATGATTTCCAATCATTTATTCTTTACAGATACTAATCTGCTGAATTGCCTTTTCAACATTTACTTTGCTTTTTAACCATGTGAATTATATTTAAGTACAAAATACTAAACAACCACACATATTGCTCTAATTGTGCTTTGAAGCTACCATGGAATAATGAAACACTAATTGCAATTAGAATACTTCATTCCTTCAGAATTAATTTCTTGCCAGAATCTTCTACAACACCAAAGTTTACATTCAAATACTCCCAAATAATCCATTGACTACAACCTGAATCAATGTTTTCATCAGTCTTTCCCCAATATACTGTAGGAGCTCAGGGCACAGCCAGAAGAAAAGTCCCTAATTTGTACACACATGAAACACTCAAGTATGTATATCCCGAAGATTTCAGAATCCCCCATTTGCTGGATTTGCTCAACACTGCCAGATTCCCCTCTGAAAAGAGATGACTTAGATCTGCACAGGCCCCTGACAAAATATCCCAATTATTTGCTAGCCAGGTACAGAAGAAAGGACTTTATCCCCAACTCTCTCTTGTGCAAAGTAATCTTCGGGGTCCTCATGTAGTTACTGGACATGTCACATTTTCCCTAGGTGAGCAGATGGCTAAGTAAAGTTATGAACTGTCACCTGAAGGCATCACAAGGAAAAGTTTTCTCAAAGATTATTCCTTTACCTGTTTGACATCATATGCCAGAAGAACATATTTTAAATCCGGAGAAACTGAATGTCTCGATGCTTTGAAGGTTACCTACGGGGAAAAAAAAAAAAAAAAAAAAAAAAAAGGGAAAGAAAGTGTTATCTTAAAAGCTTAATAACAGAGATTTTTAACATTAATTTGGATATATAAATATTGAAATATATCTCAATTCTCACAGCACTATGAAATGGCATTCTCACTTCTATTATTGTTAACAAAAGACCATGAGCTCTTCAGAAGAAAAAGGGAGAGCTTTATTTTCTACTAAAAAAATAAAAAAAAAAAATGTGCAGACCGGCACAACCTTCAGCACAAGTGAAAGTGTGCTCTCCACAGAACACAGCAGTGTTGGCTTAAACAGGAAAAGTTTGCGTTCCTATTTTCAATCAAGTCCATTTATGCAAATGAAGGATTCAAACTTGTACAGTTCCGATTGGTTAAAATAATCGAGTCCTGATTGGGTGGTTTCCAATCCCAAACCAGAAGTCTTTGTCAGATGTTTCTTTCAAACTGCTGGTGGAGCACGTTTTATTTAAGCACTGACACCAGGAATTGGTTTGGCTTGATTGTTGAAAGGGAGGTCTAGTGACACTTTTACATCTTGCTGAGAACAGTATACTTGATTGCGCCCTCACCCAACTATGGTCACCTGGTTCTGTTTTAACTTTGAGCAGCTTAATTCGCCTTTCCTAGTCCATTTTGCTGTCAGCCAGGGGCATGCTTTACATCAGATATATGCATATATATGCATGTATGTATGATTGTTCAGATGGATATAAAAACTTAGAAAGGTCAACTTAGACATTTCAGTAAGAAAAAGTTGTTAATACATTTTTCTATATTTTATATCTTAAAGAGTATGTTAATATTTTTATTATTAGGAAAAAGAGGCCAAAAGATCATTGAAACCTTTAAGAAAACAAAATTATTTTATAGTTGCATGTAGTATTAAAAGAAATATTGGCATTCTGTTTGCCATGATTTTCTGTTTCTATGTTCTTACTGGTTGAATATGTATATTTTTAAAAGACACTTTTAATAAAGACTCTCTTTAAAAGAAACTTCCAGGTGAAAGAGATTAAAACATGAATTCATAACTGATTGCTCTATTTGATATCAAACAGCAACTACACTGTACCTGACTGATTTTGAGCCTGTAATCTAATAATTGAACAGACTTGGTGGCAGAAGGAATTTAAACTACACAACAAAAGAGAAATACATTGAGGATGGAGAAATTTTATTTGAAATAGAGATATTTCTTTAATTCATATCTAAAGAGAAGGCAAACAAATTGTGTTGATAGATCAAAAACCTCCAAAATATATTTTTAAAAAATCCAAAATAAATTGCATCTGAATTTTAAGCAAATGAGATAATTTGCATGGTATTTGCATAGAAATATATACATAAATAATTTTACGCACTTTATGTGAGGGTGGTTTACACAACACTCCTATCTATGAAGAACAGAAAAAGGTGAAGTAAGGGTTTTGGTTTGTTTTAACATAGGGACCCCAAAACACAATGAATAGGATAAGTAACTCAAACTGATCAATATTTGGAAGTTTGAGTAGAATAATAAAAAGCTTATTTGGTCTTTGTCCCTGTTTCCCGACTCAGAGGTCCAGAAACCCTTGAAATCTCCAGAGGGATAGAAATGTCTTTTCCTATTCATAGCAAACTCTTTTGAATCATATCTGAGTTTATGCTAAGGAGACAAAAGAGGAGGTTTTGCACGGGGTTGGGTAGTTTATAGCTTCAGGGTGGGGCTGGTCATCTGATCACCTCAACCATGTGAATATAAGGTTAGACTTGCAGCCCCACTCCAAGACTTAATAGAGAAGAATAGCTAAAGATTTGAGATTGAACCTCTAGCCAGTGATTTAATAAATTGCACCTAAGTAATGAGACCCTGATTAAAAAAAATACTCTGAATGTTGGTGAACACATCAATGTACTGGGAAGGTGATGTGTCCTAACTCCAAAAAAACAGATTCCTGAGTTCGGTACCCTTTTGAGCATCACCCTGTATACCTCTTCATCTACCTGTTCTCTTGTAGCTTTATGATAAACTGACACTCATAAGTATAGCTCTTTCTGGAGTTCTGTGAGTTATTCTAAGGAATTATTCAACCTTCCAACCTCAAGAGGGTAACAGGAACCTTCTCATTTGTACCCAAGTTGGACAGAATGCAGGTGTCCTCAGGACTTGAAACTTGCAGCTGGCATCTGACGCAGAGGCAGTCTTGGGGAATTGAACTTTTATATCTGTGGGTCTGCACTAATTTATGGTAGTTAGTATCAAAATTAAGGGATTTTGCCCTAAACTTGTAGGGTCTGCCCTAACTCCAGAGAGTTAGTAACAGAAGTCAATTGAATAGTAGGACACCCAGTTGGTATCAGGGAATTATCGTTGGAATGAGATAATTTGTTAATCTCTGAGCCAGATATGCAAGAGAATGTAGTGGTCAGAAAGGCATCCCATCTAATGGCAATAATGCCCAGATTTGACAGTTTTGCCAAGATAAAATTGTCCATGACAATAATTCATCTCAAGAATTTTCATTTTCATTTTGTAAATGCTCCATTTCAATAATAATGAAAATAACAACAATGACACCAGCAGCTACTATTGGTTACTCATCTATCATGTGATCTGCAAGTTGCTAAGAACTTTGCACTTATCAACAATCCTTAAGAGTCCTCAGGGCAATAATGTGAGCTAACTATCCTCATTCTCCGTCTCTGTCTCTGTCTCTATATCTCTCTCTGTGTGTGTCATTAACTTATTGTATATTAAAATGTGACAGAAATTAATCTATGGCGGATTTAAGGTAACATCGTAGACACAAGGTCATCTTTCCCCACATTACACTCTCAGGAAGTGTATTATTCTTAAAGAAACCGTTAAGGGAACAGTATCAGATGTTCTATTGTTAGTTAAAAATTGGCTAAGAGATAAGGTCATCGTGTCCATCCTGTGGGTATTAGAAAACTCCAATGTCACAGTTGTTAAACTTTTCTCAAGGTCACAGAGAAACATATACAGCAGGATAATTCAGGAGGTGCCTCTTTTCATAAGCCTCACGTTATCTCACCAGCAGGTTTTGGGTTTTTTTTTTTTTTTTTTTTTCAGTAGAGAGCTTCTCTGTCTGAAGTCTGAATTATTTAAAGGAAATCTCACCTCCCTCATCCCCATGCATCCCCATTTGATGTTCCTCACACAAATTAACTTCACGCTTTCACAGGTGCGTCTGTGCCTCCGGTAACAACGTTTTAGTATCTTTTACAGTTCCTACAATTATCCAGTCTGGCACTTTATTAATTATCACTATACTGCCTCCAGCTTATACAGCACACAAACTGGGAAACTTTCCAAATATCTTTTCAGGGGCCTAAGCTGCTGAACCTTCTCTGAATTTAAAGAGTTGTGAGCAGGTCACTGGTACAGCAAAGAAACTTCCTGATGACACACAAGCAGGAAACACATGTTGGCAGCTTAGTCAAGGGACCAGGGGATGCTAGAAATCTTAGGCCAGGCCCTCTTAGTATAAGCCACTGATGTTATCATCTGTTGCATTTGGGGGATTAATTCTTCCTAGTAGTCACAGGAGACCCCTTCGTCAACATCATCCTAATTACAGACATTAAGTAGTTCCAGTTGAATCTCAACTTGATATGGCTTCAAATTAGTGTTTTGGGAAGTTTATTATCGCCAATAATGTGATTATGTTACCTACATATTTAACAACTTAATTACCATTGAAATGAAAAAAAATACAGATATGGTTTCTACATGTGTTTATTCCCATTATTCAGCAATGATGCCTACCAGTGCATTTTTTGATAGTCAATATGGTACAAAGGGCAGTGAAATTAATGAATCCTGCCATCTAGAAACTTTCCACTGAAGGAAGGCAAGGCAGGATAAACAACGTAAAATGAATATACAGGTGATTAACTAAACCAATTAAACCAAAAAGACAAGCCATTTAATCAAGTTGAGAAACAAATGCATGATTTCAGGTAATTTCAAGCAGTTTGGGGAACGTTTTGTTGTATGCCATGTGTGTATATCATTCAATTCTGCGCAAACTCATCTATTGAACAATTCACTATACGGCAAGCAACATGGTAGACACTGAAGAAATTACAAAGTTGGGAAATAAGTTCTGCAAGGGGCTTTTCCATCTGATATTGTGCAGAATAAAACTAACATCATGAATCTGTACAGCTGAGAGTAGAGCAGGGATTCAAAACCTAAATGACTTAAACAACTAGGTATGAATGAAGAGTAAGAAGGAAGCTATCTGAGTGAGAATTGAGTATCAAAGGTGTGGTCAGGCTGTCTGTCTAAAGGAGCAATAGCTCCTTAGCTCTGGATAAATACTGCCTTGCAGGAAAGTGCACATTTTGGTGCTGGTTTTCCAAATTTTTTCAAAAAAAGTTTGAAATCTAAATTTTAACTTACAATCTCATGACTTTATAAATTATAATTCCATCATTTTACATATATATAAGGGGCAGGTTCTGCCTGAGGGATACCACTTTGCTAGTTTTTGGTAAAGTCATGATTGCCATAGCAAGAATGCGAGGAAAGAAGACAATGCAATGAGGTATAAAGAACAGGATTGCATCCTTTTTGTATATTTGGTAGTAATGTAGACTACATTGTGAGAGTAATTTTCACAAAATGCACAAGTAGCTTAAAACAATTTCCAGGAAGTGGGGGACGGTGGCATGGATTACTGCTAATATTAATAATGCATACATGATTACCAACATAAATACGGCAGAGTCAATCACTGTAATCATGAATGGCAAAATCTAAAGCCAAGGAAGCATCAAAACCAGATTCAAATTTAGAACTATTACCATGGAGTTTCGGTAGAAAATGAGTTAGATCTGATTATATCTTGAGGTTATGAGATCTGCTAAGAAGCTCTCATGACAATCCAGACAAGCAATACCAAGAACTTAAGGAGGAAGCAGAGGGAGTGAGAGGAAAGAAGGGAGATTGTGAATTAAAACTAAAAGAATCAAGGATT